ATATATTTTTCTCTGCATCATTCTCTCGGGGTTGCGAGAGGGTTGGGAGAAGCTCGACCTCGAGCTTGATTCAAAGCGGATGTCCTTCTTCATCACCATAGAGGACTATTTCTTGAATTTGATCTTCTAGAACTTCTTCCTCTTCCTTAGTCAAGTGTACCTCCATCTTCTTTTTTGGGCATTCAAACGAACAATGTCTTGGTTCGTTGCATTGATAACACACAAACTTTGCATTATCTTTTTTTTTTTCATTAAATTTCGGTTGGTGTAAAACCTCCTTCTTTGAGTAAAAGCGCTTATCGGTGCTCACATGATATTTAGTCTCTACTCGTAAAGCAAGTTGAAAAGCTTCACTTAAAGTCCATGGTCGATGTAAAAAAACCTTATCCCTAATGGTAGGTTGAAAGACATTTACATATCGAGCAATCTTTTGTCCTTTCGTCTCTTGGAGGTTATTTCGAGCAACTAATCGATAAAACTTTCCGATATAATCTTCTACTTTTTTTTTCATTATGTCGAAGATTTTGGAGTTCTTGAAAGAAAATTTGCTCATGATCCGCAGGAAAAAAATTTCTTTCAATTTTTTTTTCATCATTTGCTAGTCAGTAATTTTTCCTTTCCCACCATGAAGTCGGGATTGTTCAACTTAAGCCCACCTGGCCGCAGCATACCCGTGGAGTTTGGTAGCAACAAGTTTAACCTTACGTTCTTTTGGCAATTCACTCCATTCAAAATAATTCTCAACCGCACTTAAGCAATCAATAAAACCTTCGATGTGGAGCTTACCATGAAATTATGGTAGATCGACTTTAATACCAAAATCTCGTGGTCGCTCTATAAGACGCAGATCTGGCCTGTAATCGTCGTTACGCTAGAAATCAACACCCTGGATTTGTTGTGGAATTCCTGATGCAAGATTAATGTGGCTGCTAGAACCTTCTTCACGAGGAAGGTTATTCTCCAACTGTTGTAACCATTGATCCAACTGTTGCATCTCGTCTTTCATCTCACATCAATTCAAACATCCTCTAGGGCTATGTCGAATTTTCTATAGCTTGTCCCCAACGATCATCCATAGCAGGAACTGAATTAGCTTGATTAGCTTTTGGTGGCATTGTAAAAAAAGGGGATATTTCTGGCTCTTACTTGCTCTCTGTAGATCTAACTTGCTCAGATCTAACTTGCTCTCTGGATCTGACTTGCTTAGATCTAACTTGCTCTGATACCAATTGATGCAGGGAGAAAATAACACGGGAAAAATAAAAAGAAGAAAGTTGAGAGAATATACCCTCTCTCAAGGTCTGCAAGGGAATCCACCCCAAAATAATCTCTTTACGAGACCAAATTTTATTAACTCATTCACTCATTTATAATGAAGGGAAATCTCCCTTTAAATAGACTAAAGTTTATTTAAAAAAGAAGATAAACAATGGACTTTCTTATTTTATCTCTCCCCTATTTTCTCTCTCTTAACCTAGCCATATTTATCCAAAACCTTCCCTTTCAATAGATAGCCAAGTTTTACCCATAGCCTACCCTCTTCAATAGATAGCCATGTTGCCAAGAGATAAACCCCCTAAATTTAACTTATCCTATTTATATTCCTAACTAACTAACCCAATCCATAAATATCAACTCATGCACAAACTCAATGCCCACCTATCCCTGTGCACCTCCTAATTTAAAAGATAAACTCAAAACTAATAACAATAAAAAAAAAAAATTCTCTGCATCATAAATGGATTTCTATATTATCCTAGATTGTTCTAGATAATTCTAGAGGATAAGTTTTGACTAGTCAAAGTTCTAAAAGGATTAGAAGTGGATATGGGTCAAATGTCAGGGGATAAGGTTCTTACATATTTGCTCTAGATCATGATAGCTGATATTGGAGATAAATGGCACATATTAAATCTTCTTTCTCATTTCACAGATCACCTAATAATCCTAGATAATGTTGAACTCCTAATTTGACTGGGACTCTATGCCCTAAAAGTTTATAAACAGGAGGATTCTTCCCCTCATTTTATACATTTGACTTCTCTCCTCTCTCTCCTCCACACCTCCCTCTCTGAGTTCTCTCTCATCTCTCTCTCTCTTCCTAGTCCTCTCTAATTCTCTCTCAAAGGGGCACACCACCCTCTGTAAGTGTTTAGGGTGGAATGCCCAACATTAAAAGAGAGAAAAAAGAGGGGGAAACCCAGCCCAACCCTAGCCCTAGTTTTAGGGAAGGTGTAAGTTGTGGCTGGGTTTAGAGAAGTCAGGATCTCGCTCCCTATAAAATGGGATCTCGGTCTACATGCTTGTAGGATCCCTCCAAGGAGAAAAGCCATACTATTAATTGAACTACTGCTCCTTTCCTTGGTATTATAAATTTATTTGTTTAGAATATGTTAAACTATGGTGCATATTACATTGTGGTATACTAGAATTATAGTATTTAAGATTATAGTTTAATACCATATAAAGCCAATTTATGCTAATATTAAACTAACTCCACCATGGCTAGTCAACCTGGCCATGCTGGTCCCAAGCCCAAATAAAGGAGGATTGTGTTAGGTACAGCAGCCAGCATAAAACTTGCCACATCTTTGTATGAATCCTGATGATGATTGAATTGTATTATTGCAATAAATTAGAGTACTATAACTCTGACATTAGTAATAAGCTAAGGTGTAAGATAATAGATAGAGTGAGCATTGGTTCGATCCTAATTTTATCATATATTATTAATTAATCTCATGTTATGTATAGTTGAGCTTAGATCCCTCCAGGTCAAAACCTAGATGCTAGTGGCATGGGATCTCATTCCCACATATCTTAGAATCTAGCTCCTTAACTTGTTGTATGTAAAGACATTGATCATAATCCCATGAAGCTTCCACCTTATGGCGGTTCGACGTTTCCCAAATGATCCTGCTTCCGATCCCGCTCTAGCTTCCAAAAACCAGCTCTCTTGCCCCATAAGTTTCAGAAAGGGAGTCCCAAAGGTGCTTCTTAGTTTCAGATTGGTTGATTGAACAGGTTCTAGGATCAAGCGTTCCATTGGTCAAGTGATCGGGTATGGGTGTGCAGAACAAATTAGTAAGTCTTCCCTTATTTAGTTTTATTTGCTCAAGTTTTTCGTCTTGTTTTCTTCCTAAAGTCTTAGTATTGTATTTAGTTTTGATTTGAGTTTATTTGGTAGTAAGTTTATAAACATCCTAGATTGTATTAGGTTGAATTTATTGTATTTGTGGCACCTGTAAGTAGAATTTGTAGCAATTAGTGAAAGGAAAGAAATATATTTTTGAATTTATAGCTTGGAATTCTATATTGCCATTCTTTTCAAATATCGTACTGACATTTTTTATTTTTCTATATAAGTCTAAATACCGGTTTGAGTTCTTAAGAGTACAACACCTGTGATGAATATAAGGGGAAACTACAAAGATTTCACCAAACCAGTTTAATGCTTTACCCTCTTTATTTGGGTAGGTTTAGAGACCATGGATGTTGCAATGGTGGCCCTCAACGATCAAACCATGGTGCCAAGAGGCCATACCCATGTTCCATGTTTTCAAGACCACAAACCTATGGTGAGTTTTGGGGGATTATTCAGAAGTAAAAACTCAAGACAGTTCTACAGGGATTTTTCATGCATGTGTCTAAGTTTTTCCCTATGCATTCTATCCATAGCCTATATTGAAGGAGCACATAATCTTGTTTAAGCCAGGATCCTCCCATTGTTTCTTGAAACATTCAAGAAGAAAGAACTTATGTGGTGTAACCTTGTTTTGTAACCGACACATATTAGAAAGTATGAGGGAAAAACAAGCATGATGCAGAACCTTATTCTTCATAAAAAAATATTGCTTTGTTTTGAGAACCAGTTGTTCACAAGGATCACACATTAAAAGAACACATTTGATAGTTCATTTCAGATAAGAAGGCTTTCAGCAACAATATGAACACTGGTGGAAGGTTTCCCAGATGTTAAGCCCATCTTTTTATTGATATAACAAATGGTTGCTCCTGGGAAGGATACAATCAATACAACCATACAACCTAAGCATTATGAATGATGCAAATGAGATATGTTTGGCAATTTTTGATTTGCTAAATTCTATCCACTTGTTTTGGACTTTGAACCTTACTATGCATACCATTAGGGTGTCTCATAGTCGTGGAAATGCATCTCAGAGGAAAGACTAAGACAATCCAAAATGAAAATAAATCTAACATTCTAGGCAGTTTACTCATTAATAGAAAAACTGGCTTATGATTAGGATACGACCATCAATTATACATACTTTAGAGGGAGAGTACGCTTGATTCTAGATCCAAGCTTCTATAGCGATGCCATATAATGGTGCTCCGGAAGAGAGCTGGTAATGAAGCGGGATTCACTGCTTTATAATGTTCTAAAGTGCAGTATGCAGGTTAATGAGTTCTAAATGGTGGAATTTGTCAAATCCGTCCCTATGTTCCTAACATATCGGTAATAAATTCTCACAACGCATACATCATAGATGCTTCAAACTTAAAAGGTTCATAATCATGGGAATTGAGACTGACCTACCAATGCAAGCAGATAAAAAGTTTTCAAAGAAATCTATAATAGAAGAAACTCTACAACAACATATCCTCCCAGAGAGAGAAATTAGATGATGTAATGGTAACATAATATTTCTCACATTAAAACTACGGATTGAACAGACCTGGGAAACATTTGTTGCTAGACGAGTGAGCACATAAACAAGCGCAACTTGATAATACAATATTTTCTGGAACCAATAATTCCATAATACTCGTTGGTGAGACCTTCTTGGACTATGCTGCTTCAACCTGTAAAATGGAAAGAACACGATTATATGAGATGCATTCAAGACCATAAGACATTTGAATTAACAGCTTACAAGGTTAGAAGTTGACTAGGACCCAAAGAGAGCAAGTCTACATTCTTCTTATAGTGATAAAAACAAAGTTTCTATTAAACAATGTATAAAGGTTGGTGAAGGACCAGCTTGTACCTTGGTTCTTTGGTCCCAAAAAGAAACAGGCATACGAAACAACTGCCAACAAAAATAGAGAAGTATGCAATCCAGCGGTACTGCTCGAATAAAATACAAGAGTAAGTAATCAAATAATAAGGAAAGAAACTATGTACTTAGTATGTAATTACCTGTTTCTCAATACCATCAGATGTTGTACCATTGATTACTTTGAATACAACAAAAGCAATGGTGTAGAGGCTCAGGTTCGCTACCTAAAAAATATTCAAACATAAATGGAAATAGATGAGTTATTATGTGACCATTAGAACTAAACAATTTGTCCAAACATGGGACAATAATTTCAGCAAGCTACAAACCATTGTAAATGCATTACGGCAACTTGTGAGTGCAACTCTGCTTGTTGAGTTCAATGTGATGCAGTTAACCATCGACCTTTATGAAGAAAACAAACTTAGTTTCAAGAAAAGGAATGTCACACCAGAAGTTACTGCTAAATATCAAGATATAAGGTAGAAGAACATATTTATCTTTATCTACAAAGGAAGGTTGTTTTACATGTGTGAAACTTGAGTAGCAGCCCAACCCACATTGAAGATAGCAGCAAATATGCTGTAGCCAATAGTACGTAATGTTGGAGAATCAATCCCCAATACCTCGCAAGAAAGACAGTCACCAAATACAGAAGAAAAAGATATGGCTACCAAAATTGAGCCACCAGCATGCCATAATTTGAAACGTCCAAACCTGTCAATCTACAATATAAACCTGAAGAAAATGAGCGTATCATAATGGAGTTTTCATTAATAGAACTGTGATAGAAAAACATTTCTCTATTGTATCACTATTTAGTCAAATAATGGACTCAACGGTCAAGATAAATATGAAACCTGACTTTCCAAAAGTCTAGTAAAGCAAGGCTATATTACAGTCAGAATGTTTGGATATTTTTTCCTTATGCTACAGATTTATCATAATAAAAAAGAGAGGCTTTAAATATATGAATGTTCATATGGTATCCCATAATCATTTTGCAGAATTTATTTGACTTATCAAGCAAAAGACATGGTACAAGTGACACATATTCAGATGGATTGCAAATGCAATGTTAATATAATGAAAATGACAAGTGCTGCATCTTACCAGTTCCCCCACAAAGATTGTTGTAACTCCATCAGCAACTTGGCCTGACAGCATCACAGTTGCTGCATCCCTGAGCACAAGAGAAACAAAAAGAGTTTCAGGGAAGTGACATACATACAATAGCTATGATATATCTTTACACATATATCAACAGGGACATAAATCATGGTTCACAGAACTTTAAAAAGGAATGTTTGACACTGAACTATCTTGGCCCATCTGGACCGAAGTACCACAGGGTATTGCAAGGCTCACAAATGGTATTGGCTTCTCGTGGATAACTGAATAGCATTCAATTTTTTGCTTTAAGGTTCTCCAAATTGCAAATGGGAATGTATAATAATAACTCTAGCAGAAAGGAGATACAAAACAAAGATGAAAGACATTGATATCATGATAGAAGTAAAAGGATCAATAATATGTGAAATGCGCTTCTCAAACAAGCCTTTCTTCATATCATCACAATTCACAAGTGAGCAAAATGCTATTAAGGGTTCACACAACAAAGTACAAAATCAGAAAATGATAAAAGTGTCCTCGAAGGAACACACAGAGATGCTTGTGTGCAGAACATGGTTCATATCTAACATACTCATCTATTTGTTAAAGTTATTAGGACACCCTTCACTGGAGACTTAATATTAAGAGGTTGAGGTCCCAAAATCGAATAGTGTAAAACAATAAAGTAAACAGGTTTAAGGGAAAGCTGTCATAAGGAAAAACAAACACAGCTCTGCAATCAATGCTTCCCATTTCTCAATCCACCCTAGTAGTTCAATATCTTTACAAAGACTAGGAGACTAAAACATCAATTTTTCAATCAGGTTCTATAATTAATTCAATGATATAAGTTATAAGTGTTAATCTAAAGATATATCTAATCAAAGTTTAAAAATACTTCCCATTTCTGGACAAAATATACTATCTTCTTTATTAAGACAATTTCAGATTCAAGTGAAACCTTATGCCTTTCATAAACATTAAGAAAATATGGTATGACATCCAATTCAACTGAGGGAAAGGGAGGCCTTAAAGCTATCATAAATAGTAAATACCCAGAGTGTGTCATACCTTGGAGACAGACCAATCTCTGTCAAAAACAACAAAATATATGTAAACCAACAAGAAGATGTGATGTCATTGAGCATGTGACCAACTCCATAGTAGAATGCTGAACAACGACCTAGAGGCCTATTGCCTACGTCATCTGCAGAACATGTCTCTTCGTTGTCCACAATCATAGTGAGAAGATTTGTGGGAAATGTGTTAAATAAATAGATTCATGATATATTCTGCCGCTATAAAACCTGCAGCAAGAAAAAATAGACTAATGATATATTCTGCCACTATAAAACCTGCACCAAGAACAAATAGATTCATGATATATTCTGCTGCTATAAAACCTGCAGCAAGAAAGACAGAAATAATAAATAGTTTTGATTTTATATTTGTATACCAATTGGAAAAAATTATAAACTTTTCAAGCAGCGAGGATCTTTGCATTCATTTTAATACACATTTTTAGCAATTAGTTACTATTCCACTTGCAAGTATCTGTAGGGCAAGCCAGGAACACATCTAGTAATTTATTTCAATATACTATTTTACACATATTAAATACTTCAACACATACTAGCATATATGCCACAAATCAGTGTCACAAAATGGAAAACAAGAATACTTGGCGGACATCGAACGAATTTGCCGACCTCCTTGCTAAAGATGGTGCGCGACGACGACCACACATGGAAGACAATGAATGGTCCACCTCCTTTTTTGCACTGGATCATCGAGGTCTTCTAGGACACTAGATTTTTTGGTTGTTGTTTTTTGTAACAGGGCATGCTTATAAGCCCATTTTTTTGAGACCTCAATCTTTTGGTTACAGCCACTTCAAAAGGATATAGGTTGTATAGGGTTAATGGCTTAATTTTTTGTGACTGAGATACCGGGCTCGTGGATATTCTCGGTCCTCTCCTCCCTCTATCTGCTGTATTCCTTCTTTTGATATAGTAATACAATGTTAACATTATCAAATAAATAAATAATGGAAAACAAGCAAGATAGATCATATGACGAGTGCTCCTATTTTCATAGGTCATGTTCTTCCATGAAAATTGACATGCACGTCCGTGACTTGTACAACTTCCAAACCCTAGATTAGGTTGTCCGGAATATAAACTTTTCAAAAAAATTATTTCAGGAATTCCTTTAGAGGTTCTAGATAGACATGAGATCTGTGAGGGGAGAAAGAAAATGAAGGGCTTGGGAAAATGACTAGGGGGAATTCTTAGAAAGGGCCCTGGGAGTTGACCTGAAAATGAATAAAACCGAGCCTGTCTCACCATGAGCGGCATACATTCTGGAAAGAAAACGACAGAATCAAGAGGACATATGCTTTCTTCCATATTCTGTCAAGGAGAAATAGTGTGTGAGCAATTTATTAAAGGCATGTAGGGGAACCATGTTCTCTCAATTGTGTAATGTTGTTTCTCTACATTCAATTAAAGCAAATTCCCAGCATTTGATTTAAAATATGAAATTAATAAACTGCAAATCCATGTAAAAATAGGATCCTTTGTGACCCTACTCTGGTGCATTTCAGGTTAACTGATTATCATGCTTTGTTAGTCATGTAAAGATCCTATCATTTTCTAAAAAGTGCATGAAAGGTATATTAATATCTGGCGGAAGAAATCTTTCAGCATAACACGGTGTCGTTTCTCGTCTTAGTATCAAATATTTTTTGACAATTATTTTTCTTTCATTTTTTGATAATTATATTTGTTTCAATGAAAGTCTAGTGTATTAAGCTGGATGCAATGTAGATTTCCAAATTTAATGGGTTGACATTGGTAGAGTAAGTTCCTGAATTTGTATTATAAAAGTAACAACTTTTGCTAGCAGCAATTGGATATTGAATAACTGTAAATGACTTCCTGTTGTTTTCATACTGGTATATTGAGTAGTAGTAGATGTTTTTGTCGTAAACGGTAAATTATAGTGATCATTCATGAACAATTTATTTATTTGCGTAACAACCCATGCAAGTGCAGAATGTAGTTCTATATAGTTATTTACAAAGTTTTATAACTTACATGCACCTACACCAAGACCATCTTAAACTTCATCTTATGCCACAACAATAAAGACTAAGCTTTACATGTAGCATTTCTATCATGTTACAAAAAAAAATTAACAGATCAATCGCATTGACATTGATTTATCTTAAGAAGCAAGGCAACAAAATAGATTGAAACCTAGCATAGAGAGATAGATAGCTTCAGTAGACTGACATGTACGAACATCATGGACAAAGTTGGCATGATGTATAATTGCATTCTATTTCCAACATAAACATTTTCCCTTTAACAAACTGTGGTAGAGATACAGAGGAGAAACAAAAGCAACAGCGAAAAGTATATGTGTAGAGCATTTTGTAATTGTAGAAAGCTAATGAGTACCGACACTAGTCAAAATTTTATTTTGTATGCACATGCCACCTAGCCAGTATTGAGTATTGTGAAATGTTCCAATTCAAATATTCTACCAAAACCGCAGAAGAAATAGAAGAACTCTTCTATTTTAGCAAACAATTTAGTCCGCTTTAAATTAAAGTTTATGTAATCAATGGCTTAAAAGGATATCAGGCTTAATTTCATGAAGTAAGTTGAAGATCTCAAACTTTATTACTAGAAATACATAAGGACACAGGAGCAGGAGTTGACATGGGCCAATAGATGGTTCTCGCATAGATATCACTTGGGAATTGCCAACAAGTGACTGCTACTTTTGTAAGAATGAATAAATCCCAAGCAAGAGGTTTCCACAACAAATATCTCCACTGTTTAAAAAAAATACCAATTCATTTAACATAGGGTTTTAAAACCCGGTGATATAGATTAGGAACATCCGATCAGGTGGTTTGGCGATGCCCGTAACCCCCGGGACGAATCGCCTGATATTACGTTTTATTATTATTTTTTTCAAGTTTTCAACCATTCCCAATCGATACAATGGGGGGTGGGCAATCCAAAACCTGATTCTGAGTTTTAAAACACTGCTTCATAATCAAAACAACACCTATGAATTGGAGATGATAAGCAAAAATGACATGCTACTAGTGGTTAAAAACCATAGATGACATGACACTTCAATTTGATGGTACCATTAAGTGAAAACATATTATGTTGAGTTCAGTAGGGCCAAAAAAAACTTTTTCTCTCTCGTGTTAGAAAGAGAATTGAAGAAGCTAGAGTTTCAATTTTGAAACAATGTAGAAAAGCATAATAACAAGAACCCACTTCTGTTGCTTGGCTATGGCATTACTTTTGGATTTTGGACACAAAAAAGCCTTATTAAGTGTACCCAGGAATCTAAATCTCATTCATCAGTATCTAATGACTCAAGTGTTAGTGCTGCCTCTAGTAAATATCTATTTTTCCAATTTAAAACCTGTCAGCTCCCAAATTCCATCGCCAGCTTTCTGTACATTATAACGGAATTTTTTAAAAGACTTTGTGCATAAACACATTTTTAAGGGTCCAAGAGTAATCCCCACAGTTTAGACATATCCCCTTCACACAACAGAACCACCTTACTCAACCCCGAATGCAAAAGTAAACCAAACCTTCCACCTTATTTACTTGCAATCACATGCTATATATAACAGCAAAGTCTTAGTTTCCATGAGGACTGATTCGTAAGAAAAATGGTCGAAAGAAGGAGAAAACTGCAATTGTTTTCTATTTTTTTCCTCTAAAGTTAGGAGAAAACTACAATATTCAACCAGAGGAAGAAGAAAACAATGAAGACCTTGTTTTCTTATTTTCAGAACTGGGGCATACTTATAAGAACCTTAACTCTTATATACTTTCTAGTCTGCAAGCCTGACAGATCGGCACGTAATCCACCCGAGTCGATCTACCTTTCAGTCCAAAACCATCACCCATCAAGCAAACACAAAAATAAAATCCACATTCAATTTCTTAGCATTGAATAAAATCACCCACCTTTTCCTCAGGTTCCCGTGCTTGTTCTATAATTCAATTACGCAATACACAAAATAAGAAGTCTACCAATAAGGCAAATGATAAGGAGTGATACTCAGTGTTTTGAAATTGACAAAAAGTGGAAACACATTAACTCAGTCTTTTGGAATTGACAAAAAGTGGAAGCACAGTAACTCAGTCTTTTGGAATTGACAAAAGTGGAGACAAAGTTTGATTGAAATCAGATAATAGTAAAACAGAAAAAAAAAAAAAAAGTGAAGGAAGAGGAAGAGTGCACTCACTGCTTTGAATGGAGGCAGCAGAGAGGAAGAATAAAGTTTCACTCACTGCTCTGTTTAACCTGAAAAAGGAGGCGCCATTTGTTTGACGTCAGAGTGGCGGTGGGTTTGATATTTGGTGAGGAGATTTAGGTTGCAGTCAGCAAAGTGGAACCAACCACCAGTCTCCATTTTCCTCCGTAACCGTAAAATATACGCCCACGCTCATCATCCCAGGAGGCGTGTTGCCAATAGCTATGCAGCTTTCAAATTTAAAAAGCATAAACGTTAACTATGCTCCCGCGAGAGCATGATATATGTTAGCACCTTGTAAAGGACTTCATGCGAAATTTTTGTCCACAGAATGTTATCCAAGGACTGAATGTTATTTTTACTATTATTATATAAAATAATATTAATTAGAAATTTCGGTTTTGGCTTCATTTTTATGAGTAAAATTGAATAAAATATAAAATATTGACCAAAATAAATTTAGAGATATTTTCGTTATTTTTATTTAAAATATATTTTTAATTAGTTGGACGGGATACTTTTCCCTGGTCAATACTTAGATATTATTTTCTTCCTAAAGATTTGCAATTGCGGAGTGCTCTTGCACAATATTTTATTCGGAATCAGTGGGGACGGATTGTTCATCCACATATTTGTGTTAGATTGTTGGATAGGTGATCTGGATTGGGTTTGAATCTCTTTGGCCAAAACGTAAATGTTATTTTCTTTTTTGAAGAATTGCAATTCTGGACTGCTCTTGCACAATGTTTTAATCCATATCAGTGGGATGCATTGTTCATCCACTTATCTGTGTTAGATTGTTGGATAGGTAATGCAGATTGGGCCTAAATCAGTTTGAATTGGTGATCTCAAAAATTATTATAAATAAATAAATAAAATTGAAAATAAGAATTCATGAGGTGGAGATTTAGAGGTAACAAGAGAAAATATTAAATAAGCTTTTTTTAAAAAAGAAACCAATATATAAAGAGAGAAGAGACTACAAAACACCTATGGGCGAAAATAAACAGTCTTTTTGTCCATAGGCTCAGCGCTATCTAATTTTGTCGGACGGCATGGATTAAAGGCCATCATGGATATAGCATGTCCGTGACGGGATTTTTTTTCATATAAAATTGAAGCAAAAAATATATGGGAACCGCCAAGGCTCCTGTAGGTCCGTTACAGTTTTTAGGTAAAACTGTCAGCATGTCCGTGACATGGGTGAAACACTATAGCAATTCGATTCTAGACGTTTTTAAGACTTTTCCAATAAAGAAGGTTTTAAGGGGAACTGGGCCATGCTATCCCAAAACCAGTATGGTGCTTAGGCTAAGCAATCAAGATAAAAATTAACCGGGTTTTAAAACATGGTGGTACATGAGCATGACAAAAGAGGATCTTCAAAAGTATGGTTGGGATGGAATTTTTGAAGGCGACGCAAACGCAAGGGGCAGATAGGATTGGATTTTGTATAATCCAAGTGGGCTTCATCTCATTCCCCGAGCTTAAAAAAGTTTAAAAAACAAGGAATCTTAAACGTCCCGAAATCTTCTGCTAATGGATTAATTAAAGCGCTCCTCGCACGCACGTTGGGCCCCCACTTTGAGAATATGACCTTAAACCCCACCATTTGCTGAGTAAGAATTTGGCTTTGAGCTACTACCTGGTTGTGCCGGATAAGATTGAGTTTTAATTTGGATGGTAAGATCTAAAAGTTGAAAACTCATATTTAATATTTTTTTTCTTCAAATAGTCATCTGATATGATTTTTAAACAAGGGAAAAGTTCATATAGAGCTTAGGCTCTGAACAATCAAATTAGAGCCTACCTCAAAAATTTCACGAGATGAGGTTGTTTTGACACCCAAATAACATCAAATTGATCATCTCAACATCAAGATGCATGGACAAGAGAAAAAAAATGGATGTCAAGTTTTGAAAATAGTGCATCTTGTATCGCATTTTTTGACCGTCAATTTTCAAGATTTTCAACTTTTCATACATCTACTCAATCTATACTATTTTTGAAGTTTTAAATTTTATAATTAAAGATAAAATATATTTTAAGGTTATTACAGAAATTTATAATATTAAAACCATATTTCTTGATACTATTTGAAAGCGAGTTCAAATTTGATTGATTAGAGCCTCGGCTCTATACAAACTGCACCCTTTAAACAAATCCCGGAATTTCATATCAAGAAAATCTCTTTTGTGTGGGACTTTCCCATGAGGGAGTCATAATATACAATTATGGGATTGTATATAATGAGATCATTTACCTTTGATATAAGGTCACAAGCACTTACAACCATCCAATGTATTTCACTGGTACTGGGGTGTATTACAAACTTTGAGAAAATTTTTTTTGGAAGTTTGAGCTTGGTTATAGAATAAATACATCCATCCAATTTCAAATCCAATGGTTAAGATTAATTGTGACCACCTTGTACCAAAGGTAATTGGTCTCATTGTATACTTTTCCCACAATTATACATCATATTGAATAAGGAAAAGTATACAATGAGACCATATACTTTTGGTACAAGGTGGTCACAATTAATCTTCACAATTGGATATGAAATTAGATAACTACATTTATTCCATTGACAAAGTACAAGTTTTGAAATAACTATTCTCAATTTTTGTGATACCCCCATGCTATTAGATTTCACAGCATATGGTTGTAAGTAATTGTGACCTCTTTGTATCAAAAGTAAATGACCACATTTTATACAATCCTATTAAACAATTATTGACACTAAAAATCTCACCTCTTAATAACATTCAAAGGAAAAATAAAAAATAAAAATCTCTACCGCTTAATCAACATTGGCCATAAGACAACATTGCATGGTCATCATGCATTATTTTTACATTGTAAGATTAAGGGCTAAAATGACACTTTTCGTATGAGTATTATCGATGGGAATTTGGCTCAAGGTGAAATCTCTTGTGGGTGACATAACTTAGGAGGACTAAGTTTTTTAAATAACTACAAAAATATACAACGTAGTATTGGAATTAAGCACAATTTTTATGGGCCTATAGGGCTAATTGGTGCCTTTTTTTTCTTTTTAATCATGTCCATTGTCCATCGCCAACCTTACCAACCAATCAAACAATTTTCCAATATTTAATGCACATCACTTTCAATCATGTCCATTGTCCGTGTCTGCATGGTCCCGCGCCTTGCGATCTAAATGTCATATGATACATCACACTGACCATAATGTACCTTTCATTCACTTTAGAAAAGTGAATACTTACTTTTCTAGATCGCCCAAAATTGAATAAACCTTTGTCCTCATCTTAAAAAAGAAGGCATTTCTCCCTGCTCCCATCCACGTGGGATGGGATGTCCCCACGCACTTGTTTAAGTGTGGCCTATTTTCACAGATCTTGGATCTAGAATCTTGTAGGTCTATAATCTTGAGGGAAAGAAAAAAACTTAAATTGTAATAACATTAATCATGACAATGAACTATCTATTGTTTCGCAGTGTTATCGCTATCGCATAGGTAATTTTATATATAAGTTTTATTTTTTAATTTTTTTTAAACTTTATTCAAAGCAATTGACTGAAAATAAATGTTTTTGCTAGAAATAGCTAAAAATAGTTAAAAATTATTGGCAATTTTTGTTTTAAAAAATAATAATACGATATAAATACCAAACAACTAACAAAATAACATCATCCAGAATACATTAATTTCAGATGAAATCATTAAATAAAATTAATTGTCATCTAAATACACCTTTGAAATTAATTATCATCCAAATACGCATTTAGAGAGAGTAAAATTAATTGCAATACAAATATGCCCTTTTAGAGAGAGAGAGAGTGTGTGTGATTGTTGTGTATTAACTGTTTATAGAGGTTGAAATCCATCTCTAAAATAGATATTTAAAAAGAAACTGCATGTTAATAGGACTAAAGCTAAAACTTTCACTTTTTTAATTACCAAGAATGGGATCTGCAGGACCACAAACATTTGTTCTTGTAATGGGAAAAAGTTTTGTGAGTTCGTGCTTCCGTGTGGCTCCTTCCAAGTCCGTCTTAGATGGATTCCACAAGTGGGCAATGTTGACCACGAGAATCAGAAAATATATTTGAAATTTAATGCTTAAAAATGGATAATCTTACAAGAATTAAAGTGAAGGATCCACAAATAACTACCCAAAAGAGAACACTAAAAAAATGATCTAAAAGCAAAGTTTAAAATAATCTATTTTTAAAATTTATTTATTTTTTCTAGTTACTCATTGTCCATATCATCGACCAATAAAATTTGAGCAAGCTTTCTATGATTCCCCTACAACATAAAACTTATATATTTCTCCTTATCCAACCATCCATTCTGAATGGAGGGTTAAGATTGCCCCAATCACAATGTCACATCTTTGCACTATTTTATTTTTAATTTTTTTCTATAAACTATTTTGATACCAAATTTTGGACGTCCAATCCTCTATT